TAAAATGTTATTTAAGAAAATTATTATTATACAAACAAATTAGAACGACGAAAGAACCATAGAAAGGGTTTGTTAGTTGTATTGGGCAACTTACGTTTTATGTTAAATAAATACATGCACGCTATAATGGAGGAAGAATGCAATGATTAACACATGTATTCTCATTTCGTTGAGGAGTATACATCGAAATCTAATTTATATTACACTTGTTTAAAGGTTAGTTTATGCAAATATTTTTTTAAGCAAACATAATTATTATAATGTTTAAGGGTGGTAAAATTTTCTATTTTTTTAATTTAATCAAATGAATGTAGAGAATAGTAAATGAGACAAATCCTCAATATCAAAATGCTCCACCAAGTAACTCCACAACAAGAGCTCCACGTTCAACGTACTTATAGACTTATTCTGTTTCATTTTATATAATATTATTTTCTTATTAATTTGTGCCAAAATTTAAAGGAGTGGATATATGGGTGCTTAGACTATGTTTTATTTTTTATGTGTTGAAATGTGAAATAGATAATGCAGACCAATTCCCAACATTTTATATAATCCAAACAATGCTGAAAATAGTGAACAAGTGAATCCTTTCTTACGCCTTCTGGTATCAAATCAGAATTTTCAAAAGCTATTTTTATTCACGCACGCACACAACACACAACATACGCACGCACACGCATGCACACACATTTTTTAATATGTTAATATTTTTTATATTTAATTTACAGGCAATCGTAGAAACAACAAGTGAGGAACGAATTGAGCTGACTAGAAATTTGAAGATTCATTGTGCAAAATATTACTCGGTCAAAATAAGTATTGTCAAAAATTGTTTTTGTAATAAGATCAAGCACAAAATAAAAGTGTGTTATCAAGAGACAAAAATAAATTAATTTACAATTCTCATGTGGTTGTGACGTGTGGATATTTTATTTCTTGTTTAAAAGTTTCTTTCATGATAAATTGTAGTACATATTTATACTTCATTAAATTATTTTATCATATAAACACATGGTTGATAATTATTGATAAATTATGTTGGAAAAGTATTATATATTGATAATACATATTGTGTAAAAAGTGTCTTTTCAAAAATTCAGAACAACTTCAGGTGTCAATTAATATTATTTCTACGAATAACTAATGCATGTTTTTTTTCTCTTGTCTAGGCCTGTGTTTAATCCTGTTCCTGAACTCTCATTTACGCTGAGCCAAAATTTACCTACAGTGGTATCATTTTCTTCTTTTTTTGAATCATTTTTGTTTATAATATAAAGTAATAAAGTTACAATCAAGTGACTAATATAAAGTCACAATTAAAAAATTCATTTCCCTAATTCATCATTGCTAGTGTTACTTTTATGGTTCCTCTATTAGCAGTGCACAATGCAGACTCTAATAGGGCCGCCATTCCTTAAAGAGAATCTGTGAGAGCTCGTAGTACAAGGGTACAATGTTTTTTATGAAAATTATTATTATACAAACAAATTAGAATGACGAAAGAACCATAAAAGGGCTTGTTAGTTGTATTGGGCAACTTACGTTTTATGTAAATAAATACATGCAATCTATAATCGAGGAAGAATACCAAGATTAACACATGTATTCTCTTTGCGTTCAAGTGTATACATCTAAACCTAATTTATATTACACTCGTTTAAAAGTTAGTTCATGCAAGTAATTTTTTAATCAAACATAATTATTATAATGAGATAATATTATTTTTTTGTAATTGTTCAAAGGTGGTAACATTTTTTATTTTTTATTTAATCAAATGAATGCAGAGAATAGTCATTGAGACAAATCCTCAATATCCAAATGCTCCACCATGTACCTCCACAACAAGAGCTCCACGTTTAACGTACATATATACGTTTTCTGTTTCATTTTATATTATATTATATTCTTTATAATTTGTGCCAAAATTTGAGGGAATGGATATATGGGTGCTTAGACTATGTTTTATTTTTTATGTGTTGAAATGTGAAATTGGTGGTGCAAATCAATTCCCAACATTTTATATAATCCAAACTATGCAGAGAATGGTCACCTAGTCGATCCTTTCTTACGCTTTCTGGCGCCGAATTTGAATTTTTGTAAGCTATTTTTATTCGTGCGCGGATGTGCACGCGTACGCACACAACACAACACACACACACGCACACGCACACACTTTTGCTAATATGTTAATATTTTTAATATTTAATTTCCAGGCATCGTAGAAACAACAAGTGAGGAACGGATTTAGCTGAATAGAAATTTGAAGATTCATTGTGCAAAATATTACTCGATCAAAATAAGTATTGTCAAAAATTGTTTTTGTAATAATATCAAGCACAAAATAAAAGTGTGTTATCAATAGACAAAAATAAATTAATTTACAATTCTCATGTGGTTGTAACTTGTGGATATTTTATTTCTTGTTTAAAAGTTTCTACCATGATAAATTATTGTCCACATATATACTTCATAGAATTATTTTATCATCTAAACACATGGTTGATAATTATTGATAAATCATGTTGAAAAAGTATTGTAAATTGATAATGCAGATTGTGTAAAAAGTGTCTTTTTGAAAATTTTAAATAACTTCAAGTGTCAATTAATATTATATCTACGAATAACTAATGAATGTTTTTTTTCTCTTGTCTAGGCATGTGTTTAATATTGTTCCTGAACTCTCATTTGCGCTGGGCCAAAATTTACCTTCAGAGGTATCATCTTTTTTTATTATTATTGAATCATTTTTGTTTATAATATAAATTTATAAAGATACAATCAAGTGACTAATATAAAGTCACAATTTAAAAACTCGATTTTCCTAATTGATCATTGCTAATGTTACCTTTATGGTTTCTCTATTAGTTGGGCAACAATGCATACTATAATAGGGTCGTCATTCCTTCAAGAGGATCTGTGAGAGCTCGTAGTACAAGGGTACAATGTTATTTAAGAATATTATTATTATACAAACAAATTAGAACGACGAAAGAACCATAAAAGTGATTGTTAGTTGTATTTGGCAACTTACATTTTATGTTAAATAAATTCATGCAAGCTATTATCAAGGAAGAATGCGAAGATTAACACATGTATTCTCTTTGCGTTTAGGAGTATACATCTAAATCTAATTCATATTACACTCGGTTAAAAGTTAGTTTATGCAAGTAATTTTTTAAGCAAACACAATTATTATAACGTGAGAATATTAACTTTTGTAATTGTTCAAGGGTGGTAATATTTTCTATTTATTTATTTATTTATTTTATTTAATCAAATGAATGCAGAGAATAGTCATTGAGACAAATCCTCAATATCCAAATGTTCCACCAAGAACCTCCACAACAAGAGCTCTACGTTCAACGTACTTATATACTTTTTCTGTTTCATTTTATATAATATTATTTTCTTATTAATTTGTTTCAAAATTTGAGGGAGTGGATATATGGGTGCTTAGACTATGTTTTATTTTATGTGTTGAAATGTGAAATTGATGGTGCAGACCAATTCCTAACATTTTATATAATCCAAACTATGTTGAGAATGGTCAACAAGTGGATCCTTTCTAACTCCTTCTGTCGTCGAATTCAATTTTTCGTAAGTTATTTTTATTCACGCACGCACACAACACACGCACGCACACACATGTACATGCTTTTGTTAATATGTTAATATTTTTTATATTTAATTTCCAAACAATCGTAGAAACAACAAGTGAGGAACAGATTCAGCTGACTAGAAATTTGAATATTCATTGTGCAAAATATTGCTCGGTTAAAATAAGTATTGTCAAAAAATGTTGTTGTAATAAGATCAAACACAAAATAAAAGTGTGTTATCAAGAGACAAAAATAAATTAATTTACAATTCTCATGTGGTTGTGACTTGTGGATATCTTATTTCCTGTTTAAAAGTTTCTATCATGATAAATTATTGGCCATATATATACCTCATAGAATTATTTTATCATATAAACACATGGTTGATAATTATTGATAAATCATGTTGAAAACTTATTGTATATTGATAATTCAGATTGTGTAAAAAGTGTCTTTTTGAAAATTTAGAACAACTTCAGGCGTCAATTAATATTATTTCTACGAATAACTAATGCATATTTTTTTTTCTCTTGTCTAGGACTATGTTTAATCCTGTTCCTGAACTCTCATTTTCACTGGGCCAAAATTTACCTTCAACGGTATCATCTTCTTCTTTTTTTTGAATCATTTTTGTTTATAATATAAAGTTATAAAGTTACAATCAAGTGATTAATATAAAGTCACGATTAAAAAACTCCATTGCCCTAATTTTATTTTTTTTGCTAATTAATTGTATATTCATTAATCACCAACTGATATTTACAAAGCATAACAAACTACATCACAGTATGTTAATCAAAGAAACAAAACTCTAATGAGATACAACTTCAACTAAAAGCTAAGTTGTTGCAACCTAGAACTCATGGCCTTAGGTTCCCTCATACAACATATAAGCTATCTTTTTCGCAATGTGATCAAAATTTCTACTTTTGTCTTCAAAGATTCTGTGATTTCTTTCTCTCTACACTGCATGGCTCCATTCAGCATACATTAGTCTAAACATCAGTGCAGTGAGAGTGTTACCTATGGCTTTCTCTATGATCCTCTTCATGTGTGTGGCCCAAGCATCTGAAGTATAGATTGGACATTTGATGCATGTCATCAGCTTCCTCCAGACATCTCTCGTAAACTCACAGTGAAAAAATAAGTGATCTCTAGTTTCAAGATCATCTTGACACATCTTGGATTGTTGATTTATATCCATCCTCCATGAAACCAACCTATCACTAGTTGGTAGCTTGTTTTGTAATTGGAGCCACATTGTAACAATGGCTTTTGGTCGTGCAGAATTGGCAAACATCAGACATTTCCAGGGTGCTCTAGGTTTGTTTCCAAGTAGACACAGGTAAGGGCTGCCAATAGTTATCTGATCATTTTGCTTCTAAGTTTGCTCTAAAGTCAGCCTAGCATTAAGGATCTTCTTGACCATCCATGAGGCTTGCTTTGGAATCGATGCAGTGAAGAACTGTTAATTTTTATGTAAAATGAGTGGATCCATCTAATCCATAGTTTATCAGATTTGTGAGCAAGATCCCAACAGGTTTTTGCAATAGCAGCTTGGTTCCACATCCTGATGTTAATGAGGTTCATGCCTCCAACTGATTTAGGCAAACACACTTTGTCCCATGCTATCAATTCTCTCTTAGTAATAGTATTAGATCCTGACCAAGTGAAACTTCTACAGTATGACTCAATAAGTTTGAGAGCTTTTGCAGGAATGGTGAAGAGTTGAGACCAGTATTCTTGAATACCAAATAGCACAGATTGAACCAGTTGCATTCTTCCTGCATATGATAACTTTTTAGCAGTCCAGGAGGAGATTCTAGCAATAATTTTATTCACAAGGGGTAACCACTGCATAATAGTCAGTTTCTTGGTGGAAAGACGGACACCAAGATATTTGAAAGGAAATTCACCACATCCAAAACCACTTTGCTGGAGTATATTCAGTTTTTCTTGCACAGCAGCACCACCAAAATATATAGAGCTTTTATTCATGTTTGCCTGCAGTCCTGATGCCTGGGAAAACTTTTGAAAAAATTGATATATACTTTTTACAGATTTTTTATCCCCCTCTACTAAAGATTAGGAGGTCATCTGCAAAACATAAATGAGTTATATTCAATCTGCCACATTTAGGATGAAACTTGAACCCTTCAAAATCTCCAACTTCAGCAAGGCATCTACTCAGATACTCCATATATATAGCAAATAAGTAAGGAGAGATGGGATCTCCTTGTCTAAGCCCTTTTGCAGCATTAAAGGGTGGTGTAGTCTCACCATTTACCATGATTGTATAATTCAAAGTATGAACACATTCCATGATCCATTAAATGAACTTCTGAGGAAAACACAAATTCTCCAGAACCTGTTCCAAGAAAATCCACTACACAGAGTTATAAGCCTTTTGTAGATCAATTTTTAGCATACATCTTGGAGAAATAGTGTTGTCTAGAGTATGCTTTAACCAGTTCAGTAGCAAGGATGATGTTATCAGCAATCTTTCTTCCTGGGATGAATCCTGATTGTGCTTCACTGATAATATGTGCCATAATCTTCTGCATCCTTGTAGCTAAGACTTTAGCAATGACTTTGTATATGATGGTGTAGCAAGCTATGGGCCTATATTCTTTTATATTCATAAGACTAGAATTTTTTGGTACCAATGTGATTACAGTGCAATTAACTGGTCTATACAATTTTCCAATCTAAAAATCCTCTTTGATAGTCATCAACATGTCATCTTTGGTGATACTCCAAGTCTTCTTGTAAAAATAAGCTAGAGGTTAGTGCCTTCCAAATTTCCTCATCCACAACATCTCCACATAATGCAACTCCTTGCTCATAACTAATTGTGGGTCCTTTCTTCATAGTTTTCCTATCTACAGCAGGTAGAGATGTAGTGTTGGATCCCATTAGTGCCTTATAAAACTTTACCACTTCCTCCTTAATAGCTTCTGGTGTGTCCAGTTTGGTGCCTCTAAGTGAAGTCAGCTCACGCGTGATCTTCTTGTTAGTTCTCTCCTTGATCATTACTGTGAAATATTTATTATTACAATCTCCAAGTTGTATCCATTTTGCTCTGGACTTTTGTCTTAGCGCACTTTCTTCAACAAGGCTCCATTTCTCAATATCCAATAAAATTTGCTTCTCCTTACATAGTAGCTCATCAGTGCACTGTTGATTGATTTGTTCCTGTATTTGCAACAATTCTTGTCTAGCTGGATTTATCTTAGTGGTTATGCTTTTGAACTCCTCCTTATTCAAATCTTTCAATACTTGCCTTAATGCTCTCAACTTTGCCCAGATATTTGCCATTGTTCCTGGAGCCCATATGTTTTTGCCATATTTCTGCAACTTTGTCCATGAAAGTACTATGTTCTGCCATATATTAAAATATCTGAAAGATATGGGAGATCATACTTAGTAATCACATGACCCCAAGTCATCATCCAATCAAGATTGCCAAAGACTCTATCAATTCTACTACAAATTCTATCAGTTCGTAACTGCTTGTTTGACCAAGTATAATAATCACCCTTCCATGGTACTTCATTCAGTTGTAGCTTATGAATACAATTTGAAAAATCTTGAGTTTCTGCTAGAGAGATTGGTGCACCATATACCCTATCATTTGGATATAACACAGCATTAAAATCACCAACAATTAACCAACGTTTATCCACTATTTGTTCAATGCTTGATAGTTCTGCCCATAGGTCCTTTCTCTGTTCAATAGAGTTAGATGCATATATAACAGTAATAAAACAAACTAGTGTCCCATTGTTACCATTTACCAGACAATGAATTGATTGAGGAGTAGATCTAATATGAGTAATCTGGTAATAATTTGGATCCCACACTATCCAAACTCTACCATTTACAGCCCATGAATAATTATTCAGTGATTGCCAACCAGGGAATACATTTGCAAGTACCTTAGCCTTATGAGCTTTGACTCTGATTTCTAACACTGCTGCCATTTTGATGCATTTATTCCTCAGGTAGAGTTTTAATTCATTTTGTTTATGCCACTTATTTAGTCCTCTCACATTCCATATAAGCCAACTCATTAGATGGTGCTTCTTATGTCTCCTTTATCAGGAGGAAGTTGCACATGTCCACTCAATCTTCTCCCATTCAATTCTTTCTTCTTTGGCCAGGACCCCAATAAAGGGAAGTTTGTCAAGTTAAAATCTGGACTTTCATTTGTTGCTTCTTGATTCCATATATTGAGGCCTGTATATGTGACACTTTTTGGGCTAATCTCCTGCTGATCTACATTTTCCTTTGCATCCTGAGTAAGAATATTTCTTACTTGATTCTGCTCTGAACTTTAAGGTATGTCTAGTGCAGGCTCCCTGATCACACCAGTAGGCTTCCATTATTTACCTCCTCTACTAGGTTCTTGTCTCTTCCTAGGTTGTGGAGCCTGAGGTTGTGGCATTTGCTTTGTGCATATATGACCTACCATTGAGCATTTAGGACATAATTTAGGCTTCCAATCATAGAAAACCTCATGCTCAAACTTATTACCATTAGGATCCATCATCACAAACTTATCAAGCAATGTTTGTGTGATATTCACTTCAATAAGTATTTGAGCATAGGATATCCTTGTTTGTTTAGCAGTACATTCATCAGCATAAATAGGGACTCCAATGACACTTGCTATTCGACTCAAAGATCATTTACCCCAACATGACATAGGCAGCTTGGGAAACTTCACCTAGAGAGGAATTTTTGTGGGGAATTCCTTGTTGAAATCAAAATCTGATGTCCATGGCTTGAGTATTATAGATCTATTGTTGATGGTATATGGACCTGAGTAAAGTATTTGGTTCATATCATCAATCGAAGCAAATCGAATCACATAATATCCTTCCTCATGATAAAACACCTCAGGTTTAGCTGCATTACACCAAAATTGATTAATATATGTTGTGAGAGCATTATAACCAGGCACATCCCCTATGAAATAAGCAATTAGGGCATTGTTCCATTTCGGAATTTCCAGATTCACCTCATCCTTATCCAACTGAAATACAGGCTTGCCCTAATTCATCATTGCTAATGTTACTTTTATGGTTCCCCTATTAGCAGAGCTACAATGCAGACTCTATTAGGACCACATTCCTTCAAGAGGATCTGCGAAAGCTTGTAGTACAAGGGTACAATGTTATTTAAGAAAATTATTATCATACAAATAAATTAGAATAATTAAAGAACCATAAAAGGATTTGTTAGTTGTATTGGGCAACTTACGTTTTATGTTAAATAAATACATGCAAGCTATAATCGAGGAAGAATGCCAAGATTAACACATGTATTCTCTTTGCGTTTAAGAGTATACATCTAAATCTAATTTATATTACACTCGTTTAAAAGTTAGTTTATGGAAGTAATTTTTTAAGCAAACATAATTATTATAATGTGAGAATATGTCACGAAACAGGGTTATGTTATACACATTTAAAGCTATGAAAGCAGGTTAAATAACTATATAATTAATACAGAGTCCCCATAAACTCCAAAGGTTTAAATAACTAACCCAACTAATGCGGAAGAACAACCCCTAGAACATGAAAGTCATTGTACCAAAATTCTACTAACGACAAGTCTAAGAACAAGGGGTACAACCCCGAAACTAAACAAAACACCTTAAATAAATAGTCTGAGTCCGAAGAGAGTGGACTTAAACAAGACAGATCCATGGCAGCCTGAAAGAACTTGCTCACCCTTGAATTCGGTCACGCTCAATAGCCACCTAACTGAGGTCTATCAATAGCCGCTTGAAGATGTCCTGCACTCAATAAAGAAAAAGCAAGTGCAGTATCAGTACACAACCACAATTTACTAGTAGGATCACGCGGCTATCCCAATAAGTGAAACACATGCAAGTAACCACAACATTATAAACAGGCATATACCGAAAATATAAAATATTAGTCATCTTTTCAGGATCAATGTAGCATCCCACATTCTCAATAATACATATTGGTTATCAATTTAGAGCAACATACAATCTTCTAATATCAATCATCATTAGATATGAACGTAATCATCACAAGTAGATACACAACACAATTCAATGGTCCTCTCACGGAACCCAATTCAATGGTCCTCTCATGGAACCCACACCCAAACTGTTAGCATACCGGTACGTAGTACCTGATCCAATGTTTATATCAATAGACAACACAATTCAATGGTCCTCTCACGGAACCCAATTCAATGGTCCTCTCATGGAACCCACACCCAAACTGTTAGCATACCGGAACGTGGTACCCGATCCAATGTTTATGCCGGAACGTGGCAACTGATCCCATGTTTATGCCGAAACATGGCAACCGATCCAAGTTAGTGTGTTGGAATGTAACACCTGATCCATTCAACAAACCACAATCACAATCACAATGTATATTCTCACAATCATACAACAAGAGGTGATTCATGGCATACAATTACACAATTATCCTCATTTACGATTAGGGTGATCAATAATGCAACATTTGCATTACAAGCATTATAATAAGCAATTACAAACATATATCACACCAACATGAAATCATAACCATCACCTACCTCGAATCCAAGCTTGAATCCCCTAAGGAACTTGAATCTTCCCTTTCCAGACTCTTTCCCCTTGTTCTAGGTCTACAACAATTAATATACGCAAGGATCAACAACCAAAGGTCTAATTATCCGGATTATAACAAACCCAATAACCCAAGACCAAACCCATGATCCCAATATCCCAAATTAGGAATTTTTTAACCATAATTTCCAGATGAAAACCTTCCCTCATCGATAATTACCTATGAATCTAAGTTCTACCGATCGAAAAACAGACTCGGGGAGTGAAAACACATTACATTTAGCCTCAAGAATGGTGGAAAGCTGTCAAGAAAATCCCTGAGGTCGTTTCTTAGCTCTCAAGAATGAACTTTTGCAGAAAATAAAATTTTTGGGGGATTTTACCCTATTTAAGTGGCGTCTGTCCCGCTACGGCAGGACCCATCCGGGTACAGCGGCATCAATCCCACTGCGGCGGCATGCACAGAGACACAGTGCTGGAATTTGAATTCCAAACCCCCATTTCACAACACACCTTCAAGCCTTGACATTCAAAGACCACTAGTTCACGCTAAGATCATTTTTGGGAGTTCTACTCGCCCGAATTTGATTTCGTAAAGTCGTACCAGTTCCTTAACGTCTTAGCTATCCACTCATGTAATCAAAATCATAATTAAATCACCCAATTGTTACCAGATTTCCCTAGACTTTACTGACTCCGATTTTGTCCAAATGTGGACTAGGTTGGGAAATTCCAAGTTACTATAAAAAGTTTTCTTACCCCAACTCTTTGTCCATTGGCTTTTCCCTAACGACGGAATCAGGTCGTTACAATAGATACCAATTTACCCATCACTCGTCCCCGAGTGATCAACTAGGGAAGACTGGATAAACTAAGGGTAGAGTAGTACTTGAATCGCTGAATAACAGGGGATACTTGTCTCGCATGTCCTTAGCTTCCGGACATCGAGATCAAGAATTTCAACCGGTTCTTCTTCATACAGAAGGTCTTGTCTAACACAACTGAGTCTCACTTTATGATATAATCTTTGTCCCCAAACCAACCAATTGAATACCTACACATCCTTCCATACAATGCCTCAATGAAATCATCACAATACTCGAGTGATAATTATTGTTGTATGTGCACTTAACTAACAACAAAGTTATTCCATATAACCACCACAGTTCATCGTACTCATGTTTGCAACATGTTATCAAGGACTTTGACATAAACATCAGGACGAATCCTTTCTCACATAACCATGATAAAATCCTAGATCAAAACACGACACAATTAGAGGTGAACCTTAACCAACTAACACACAATTATAATACTCAAACAATCATAGTTCTTATCAACATCCCCATCTCACAACCCAATTTCCCATGAGTTCAAGTTATAAAAATTGATCTTTAGACATCAGATACTTATCGATGGGTATGTCCAAGCATACAACTCTCCAACCACACTATCAAGATGCTAGATTTAGCAATTATGATTCTACATTAACCTTAAGAACAGTAGAATTGGACCCAATGATCCCCACATTAAACCACACGCAATCAATACATAACTTCAACGACAAGATGAATATTAAGATTGCCGGAGAACCATAATTACGCATGGTAGCTCTTCTATGAATTCTCATAAGCAAGGTGGTACATGTAGAACCACTAAAATACTTTAACAACTCCAAGTCAGCACCAATTATGTCATTCGAAATAACCAAATCTTCCCAATCTTCCCACTCAATCAAGAGTACATCACAGGATTTGGTACCCCTAATCCACCACTAGGGATCCACCAACAAAAGTGAAAACACACGAGAGCATAACTAGTGAATCATACTCACAATACTAACAACCATCATAACCCTCCGATCATTTACCTTATTATAAACCAACACTTTTTAAATGAAACCTTTCTTCGGTACTTAACAATCAACAATAATAAATTTTCGACTCAACCTAGGTGTAAATCCTTTCAAATGCTCAATACCGGATACAATTGATCGTTTTCCACATTGCTAAATCATATCTTGACAAAATATATCAACAAGAATGTAAACTTATAATGAAAAATATGAATTGTAAATTCAACTGTATAACACAATCCCCTTATCTATCAACATTAGCTTATACCTCAAGGATTTTTATGAAATCCTGGATCTTCGCTTATCATTGATCGCATCTCCATCGATCTTACAACATACTTCGCAAAAATTTCCATCGTACTCATTACTAAACTGAAAAACAAAACCAAAGCACGTATCATCATACTCGAGCTAATGTTTGTACACTTCTTTCTCAAGTCCTTTTCAATAGTTTTTAACCAATCTGATGGACCCGTGACACAATTACCATAGCCACAACAAAACGAATGAAATGACGCGTCTCTGAACCA